TATATATATATATGAGGCCTCTCAACAGTGTTCGACAGTGGACAGTAGTGTGGAGTGACAGTGACAGAGGCACAGAGACAGGCCAGGTGTTCTCTGTGTTTCCTGTTGTTGCAATAAAACTCAGCTGATCATCTCACGGAGTACCTTCATTCTTGGACCACGTATTTCTGTCTTTGTTAAATAAATATTGCCATAACAGTTATTTAAGGAAACAAGATATGGAGCGACAAGAAACCCTCAGCTCAGAACACATTTTTGCTCAAACTCAAAAAAGATGACGTCTGACTGAAACCAGGTGGTTAAAGTTACCTGTGGCTGAGAGCTGCTGGCTGAGCTGTGGGACAGTCGTAGTTTTGTCCTCGGTAGGAGAGATTTCCTGGCTCAGGTGCTGTCAGTTACATCCAGAGGACGAGGCAAAGCAATGGCACTTTATTTCTACTCTTTTGTAAACATTTCAACAAGAAATAACCATTTAAAAGTCCGCTCACTCATGTTTAGCTTCACCGCACAGTCACGTTAAGGAAAAAGCGCCAGGGCAGACACCAAATAAATAAAATAAAATAACTAATTAGCTACTTTAGTATCGGACGAATGCACCCAGATGAATGTAAAGAAAGTTCTGACAAAAGACAATTTCTTATTTTATTTTGTTCACCATTTTTGTAATAATAAATAGTGAAAAATCATTAAAAAGTTGAATGCTTATGAAAACATTTTCTAACTCAAAGGAATATCTCAAGGTACGCACAGTGCGTACGGCCATACAGCTGCAGGTGCCACTGCTTATTTACAACATTTCACAAGTTATAAAGTGTACTGCCACGTGTCCTTTTGGAAAAATCTACAACGTAAGCTCCAAGTATAAATACCTCCACCGCTGGTGAGGGCCAGTGCCCAAAGCGCAACTATAGCTCAACTTTTATACTGTATAGGCATTGTGGCACCTCAAAACAGAGCACCTCTACAGCCGAACCTGCAGCCCATCAGCCCACAAACCCATCGGCCCACCGGGAAAACTCCCAGGAGACTTGTATGCCAGTCCTAGGCCCAGCCACTCTAAAAGGTTTTTATACTCAGTCCATTAAGGAACTGTTGCCAATTAATCTAATTTGTTGCAAAATGCTCCTGCAACTATTTCTCAATACCATTTGTACATTTTTGTTGACCCTATTCCAACTTTTCTGAAGTGTTGCTGCCATAAAATTCTGAATTACCTTACTTAAAAATATGGTACAGTTTCCAAATGTTTGTTATATTGCTAATGTGTCCAGTCCAGCTGAACCACCTATATTATATTTTATGAGGATGTGGCCCTGCTTCTGCATCTTTGCTAAAATATTAACTTATTTTTAAGTTAAATGAAGCGTTTGGCAGTATAATAACTGGAGTTGAATTTAACAGTAATTGATGTAAATTGTGGAAAAAATATAAAGTAAAACGAGCAATGTTTGAAAAATAAAGACAAAGTGAAAATGAACTGAAAAGCAGCTCTTCAAACGCTTGACTGTAGTGGAGCAGTGCAACCAGCAGGTGGCGGTAAAACAAGTAAAACAACTCCAGCATCTGCAGACCTGAAGAGAAGAAGAAAATGTTTCAGGAAAAGAACGCTATGGCGTCCGGACAGCAATGGGTTTTGGTGGAAATGGTTCAAGCTTTTTATGAGGTAATATTGCTCTTTTCGACATCCCAGACAGGCAGAAACACTTCCAGATTTGTTGTGGAATTACATATGTTGAAACGCCGTATTTTGAGGAAAATATTTTGAAAAATGCTCACATAAAGCTGTCCGGGGAGTGTTTGACAGACTCACGATCTGTTATTTGTCCGAGTTGAAGATTTTCCTTCCGTCTGTGACTCGGAATACGTCATTTGCCTGGGTCGCTTCAGTACTTTTTATAGTTTTATGTAAGTAACGTGAAGTTTAATAAATGATAGGCAAGTTTGAAGAAACCCAGGAAGATAACCGTTCATTAAAGAGGAAGCTGGTGTTCTATCGAGATGTGTTTCCCTGTCAGTTCCGCCTGAAGCGCGTGCTCGCGCCAAACACGACCCCCGGAAGAAACACGGAAACAGATCAAAGTCAAGTTTTAGCTCATTTTGAAAGGTTTATGCAATATTGAATACAGGATAATTAATACCTGAATGAAAAGTCCAAACAGGTTAAAATCCACGTAGTGTCATTAAACTCCTCTAGTAGCTGTTTGACTTTAATACCAAAATAAACAAAGGTTAAATTGGATACAGTTTTCAGTGGTAAGTAAAACCTGTACTCATTCACACTAGGGTTGGGCAATATTGTAAAAAAAAAAAAAAAATCACGATTGTGTCATGTTTTTTAGCAGGTTAAAATAGTAAGTTGTGGATGGAAACCCACCTTGGAGTGGCAGCAAATCTTTAGTAACGTATCCTCACAGGTGCGTTGGATAGTCAGAGTGCATCGCACACAAAAATACATCATCACGCATCACTAATTGCAGTAATTGCAAAGTAGCAAATTTTAATTGTTAACAGTTTTTCTGAAGATTAATTGCACACAATGTGATTTTTGCCCAACCCTAATTCACACAGGAAGGAAAAAGAAAATCAATTGTAATGAAAACTGGTGTAAAATTACAGAATAATTGAACTAATTTCAAATGGTCTGAATTTATATAGCGCTTTATCAAGTCCAAGGTCACCAAAGCTTTTTACACTCAGATCCACACATTTACACACTGAGGGTGGTAAGCTACATTGTAGCCACAGCTGCCCTGGGGCACACTGACAGAGGCAGGGCTGCCGTTCATCGGTGTCACCGGACCCTCTGACCACTACCAGTAGGCAAGGTGGGTGAAGTGTCTTCCTCAAGGACCCAACAACTGAGATGGACAGAGTAGGGGTTCAAACGGCCAACCCACTGGCAGTTAGAGGATGAACCCCTACCTCCTGTCACCCCAGTCTTATAGCAGGGGGACACTTGATGCTAGCCAAATACTTTTTTCTTTGTTTAGAAGGTAAGGACCGGAGGTACTTCTGTCAACTTCTTTTTACTGAGTTGTTACGTCACAACAGGGAATTTCAGAGGTTTTCTTCTTTTTGAATTAACTTTTATTCTCATTGCAGTTTCTGCAGATAAGGAAAATATTTTTCTCAATAATATAAGCTATATTCAGTTTTATCTTATCATTTGCATAGTTTTATTTTAGCTGAGTGAACACAATCAGGAAACTTGAAGTCTACAAAAAAATGTCTACCACAGCACTTAAAATTTGCTTTCTTTAAAGTGGACAAGTTGAGACATCGGGCCTCATGCAAGAACCGTTCGTACGCACAGATTTGTTCTTAAATTGTGCGTACGAGTGATTTAGGAGAATTTGTGGCATTCACCAATGTTTTCGTATTCTAAGATTTTTTTCAGATCAAGTGGTCCAGACCTGTCGTATATTTTACCAGCAGTCAGTCTGCTGTTATCCAGATGGGTTTTCTTCATTAATAACTTTATAT